ATTAAAATGCACAGCCCCCCGGATCGGTGGCCAGGACCCGGGCAGTGAGTGCTCCACTGAAAATCAGCTCGCGTGCCGCCTTTGGCACACATGCCATAGGTTGCCTACCCCTGCTCTAGCATTTTTAAAATACTTCTTCTGGTAGCTGGTGCAGAAGGCTATTGGAAATGAGGAATACTTTCAATACATAGTTTTACCCCGAGACCTTTGGTGCTAATGAGTTTATAAAATGCCAAGTTTCAATTGAAGGCATTTGTGGTTACCCAAAAAACAAAAACAAAAAACCAACCCCACAAACATGAGAAAACAGGACTTTGTACCACTTTCCCCAAACATATTCATCTGAAGAAAGTAAATGCTCATCTTCAAGAATTTGATTGTTTAAAAGGGCTTAGTGTCAGTTTACCACCCATACTTAAGCACTTTTATTACTCATAAGGAATCATTTTGTCACTATTATTTCTGTTCATCACTGCAGACCTGTACTAATTTGCACTAGCGATGGGGTGATCTATTGTTAATTTAATCAGTAATGCAAGTTTCAGAAATTTAACAATAAAACAATTATACACCACTAACTGTACTTGGTTAATTTAGACTTTAGTTCCATTTTAATTTGTAGTACTCCGTGTCCTAGCAAGTATTTTGTAGATAGATACATAAATGAAGCCTAACATGGCAGGCTTATTTACTATCTCTGCTATTGAACTTCTGGCAAGATGAGGTAGTAATGTGTGTGTTTAGCTACATGTTAGTGTGTGTGATTAGCTACATGTTACCACACATGATGCTTTCTACAGGAGAATCTCTCTATGATCAAATGGTAAGAGGTGGTGAAATTTTTTTTTACTGTTCTCTCACCCTAAGCTACAACCTCAAGATTAAGCTTCAGGACTCTATTTCACAGGTCCGATGTATAACATTTGGTTCATATTTGTTGTTGAGATTTAAAGAACATTCCAGAAGATTTAGGACAGTGACGTGCACTGCTTGACGCACTCTCTACACCTGGCAGGTAGTCTCCCTTCTGTAATTTTTAAGAACTCAGGGTCAAGTACTTTGGCTCTACATATCAGACCTGTTCTTCAGTGCTGCTTCATGAAAGGACAGCACCTTTCCACTTACAGCAACACATATGCAAGTCAGCCTCCCATTCACATCTTGTTTGTTATTAGTTTCTCCCTTAGGTTTTAAATGCTACTTGCTTTTAGACACTGTCATGGTGGGAAATATTTTATTTCACGGGGGAACTGCACTGCCACATTTCTGCCATTTTCTTAATCTTAGTAAGATTTTTTTTTCCTCCCCCATGTGCGGTAATGCATATCATAGCATGTATGAGAAAATTGTCTACAGGGAGGCAAATGCACCGGGTGCATCAGGATCAGTATGTAGATCTCACTGCAAGACAGATTAGGCATCACCAAAAAGTATATAAAATATAGAGATGAGTCTCGAACTGTGAGAATTTGAATGAGTGAGATTTTAAATGTCTCACTGAAACATACAGCAAAATCCAACCTCACAAAGGAGAGACTTCAAACTCTGGCTTAAAATGCATCACAGAGAAGAGAGAGAGTCACCCTTACCCCAGTGAATGAGACTTGGCAGGCCTGACAGGGTATATATTTACATACACACTAGCTGCACTACAGGTTTGCTATGCTCCAGAGCCAAAAAGCATACCTGTTGCCAAGACGTGCTCACGTGGAAAGGAGGGAGACTCCCAGGTTAAAGGAATGGATTTCAAAGCGGTGTTTGAAATTTCTCTCTCCTGTGACACAGGGTTTTGCTGTGCGTGTTTCACTGAGATTTAAAATCTCACGCATTATTTTCTGAAATCTCCCTCATTTAAATTCTCGCAGCCCAAGAGGCCTGGTAAACCGTGGTTAGGTGTAGTTACTGTCTCCTCACAGGAGGGTCTGAGAGCCCCCAGCCCTTCAGCCTCTGCTTTGCAACTACACCATAGCTCCAGCTACTACTCCCAAGGCTATCCCCAATGTCCCCTCTAACACCTATCCCCACCTAGCCTCTTCTTCTCTCCAGCCCCCACACCTTCCCTTTAACACTCCCCACCAGCCTCTCCCCTCTACTACCACCACCACTCCCTCTTCCAACACCTCCCACCCCCAGCCAGACTCTTCCTCCCCACAACACTCCATACCTCCCCTCCCCCTTTCCACCCCACCCCTCTCCCACCCAAAAACTAACAGCCACCTTTTTTTTTTTTTTTTAAAGTACATCAGAAGCAGGAAGCCTGCCAATAAATCAGTAGGGCCACTGGACGATCAAGGTGCTGAAGGAGCACTCCAGGAAGACAAGGCTGTTGTGGAGAAGCCAAATGAATTCTTTGCATCGGTCTTCACTGCAGAGGATGTGAGGGAGATTCCCACACCTGAGCCATTCCTTTTAGGTGACAAATCTGATTAATTGTCCCAGATTGAGAGGTCAATAGGGCAGGTTTTGGAACAAATTGGTAAATTAAACAGTAATATATCACCAGCATCAGATGGGATTCACTCAAGAGTTCTGAAGGAACTCAAATATGAATTTGCAGAACCATTAACTGCAGTATATAACATTGCTTAAATCAGCCTCTGTATCAGATGACTGGTGGATAGCTAATGTGATGTGGATTTAAAAAAAAAGACGACGACTCCGAAGGTGATCCTGGCAATTACAGGCCAATAAGCCTAATTTCAATACCAGGCAAATTGGCTGAAACTACAATAAAGAACAGAATTATCAGACACACAGATGAACACAATATGTTGGGAAAAAGAGTCAATACAGATTTTATAAAGGGAAATTATGCCTCTCTAATCTACTAGAATTCTCTGAGGGTGTCAACAAACAAGTGGACAAGGGTTAGCTAGTGGATATAGTGTACTTGGACATTCAGAAAACTTTTGACAAGGTCGCTCACAAGATTCTTAAGCAAAATAATTAGTCATGGGATAAGAGGGAAGGTCCTCTCACAGATCAGTAACTGGTTAAAAGATAGGAAACAAAGGATAGGAATAAATAGTCAGTTTTCACTGTGGAGAGAGTAAATAGCGGGGGCCCCCAAGGATCTGTATTGGGACCAGTGCTGTTAAACATATCCACAAATGATTTGGGAAAAGAGGTAAACAGTGATATGGCAAACTCTGTACATGATACAAAATTATTCAAGATAGTGAGTCCAAAACAGACTGAAGTGTTACAAAAGGATCTCACTAAACTGGGTGACTCGACAACAAAATGGCAGAGGAAAATCAATGTTGACGAATGCAAAGTAATGCACCTTGGAAAACATAATCCCAACTATCCTTACAAAATGATGGGGTCTAAATTAGCTGTTACCACTCACAAAAGAGATCTTGGAGTCATTGTAGATAGTCCTCTGAAAACATCTGTTCAATGTGCAACAGCAGTCAAAAGAGCTAACAGAATACTAGGTGCCAACTCTGTGGGTGCTCCATGGCTGAGCACCCAGGGAGAAAAGTTAGCAGGTGCTCAGCACCCACCAGCAGCCAAGCTCTCCATTCTCTCCCCAGTGCCTGTCCCCTGCCGGCGGCCCCGCTGATCACTCCTCCCCCGCCCTCCCAGTGCCTCCCGCCTGCCACAAACAGCTGTTTTGCGGTGTGCAGGTCGGCTCTGGGAGGGCAGGGGAGGAGTGGGGATGGGGCGCACTCGAGGGAGGGGGTGGAAAGAGGCAGGGCGGAGGCAGACCAGAGGGGGATAGAGGTGTGGCAGGGGCTTGGGGACAGGGGTGGAGTGGGGACAGGGTCTGGAGCGGAGGGGGCAGAGGGGTCGAGCACCCCCCGGGTAGAGGGGATGTAGGCATGTATGAACAGAATGTTAGAAACCCTTAGGAAAGAGATAAATAATATCACAGAAAATATCATAATGCCACTACGTAAATGCATGCTATGCCCACACCTTGAATACTGCAGGCAGTACTGATCATCCCATCTCAAAAAAGATATATTATAATTGGAAGTAGTACAGAGGAGGGCAACAAAAATGATGAGGGGTATGGAACCGCTTCCATATGAGAGGTTAAAAAGACTGGGACTGTTCAGCTTAGAAAAGAGACTACTAAAGGGAGGACATGACAGCAGTCTATAAAATCATGACTGGTGTGGAGAAAGTGAATAAGGAAGTGTTATTTACCCCTTCACATAACACAAGAACCACGGGCCAGCCAATGAAGTTAACAGGCAGCCCGTTTAAAACAAGTATAAGGAAGTACTTCGTCATAAAACACACAGCTAACTTGTGGAACTCATCACCACAGCATATTGTGAAAGCCAGAACGATAATTGGATTAAAAAAAGATTTAGATAAGTTGATGAAAGATAGGCCCGTGAATGGGTTTTAGCTACGATGGTCAGAGGGACACAACCCCATACTTTGGGTGTCCCTAGCCTCTGACTGACAAAAGCTGGGACTGGACAACAGGGGCTGGATCACTGTAAATTGCCCTGTTCTATTCACTCC